TTTGTCGAAATTGTGGATGTTGATTGCATGACGCAAAGGCTACGCAAGCATTGTCGGCGTCATTGAAAGCTAGCGGCACGGCGTTGCCGCTTTTGGTTCATCGGCAGCTAAACATTGGATCCAGTTTTGTTCAAAGATGTTTGACTTGCTTCTGCCCGAGATGCTCGGGATAAGGTGCTTCACACGGATCAGGTGTCAGCTAATGTGCAATCCCGATTGTCATCTGACGGGTCAATCCGGATGCCTTGCCCCCAGCGGACGTGTCGTCTCACAGTCTGCCCCAGTGCATGTTGTTGTGCAGTGTTTGCAGGCGTTTGGTGGAAGCCATAGCAAATCCGCACGATACGAACGTGCGACTTGATTGGCAAGGGGTCTCGCACGGGTCAGTTTGCAGTTTTCAGACTTGTTCCTCTTTGAATGCAAGAGCCAGGGCGGGCGCGTTGTGCCAGAATGTTGTTAAGCAAAACCTTGTCTATGAGTTCAAATTCTGTCTGCATGTCAGTGGGTCCAGCAGGTCGGCGTGGGTCAACTCGGGCTTCACTAAACTCCGTCTATGGGAGCAGCTGGATTTGGCACCTCGCCTGCGACAAACTGTAGCAGCAAGCTAGCAGCTAGCTAGCCCTGCTCCTAGTCTTTTCACGTTCAAGCAGCCCTCGGCCCTGAGCATGCTGTGAGCCCACCAGCTGCTCAGCACGCAGCTTCTTCATTCAATAGGACGAGGAAGCGCTTAATGTTTGAAGAATGTCCACCCTTCTTGCTCTTTTAACTTTCGGGCCCTCATGCATCAAGTGCTGCAGAGCGCTGGGCGAGCGAGGCGGGGTAGTTAGGGAGGGTTTGGAGCCTTGGAGGCCCAAAGCCAGCTAGACCTGAGCGAGACAATCTCTTGGCTCCTATTGCATGTTTGGCCATCTTAAGAATGGTGGCCGGACACAAGCCAGAAGTGACTGAATAACAAAACGAAACAACTCCTGTCGCACGCCACTTCCAAGTGGCTATGCAATGTGTCTGGATACCGACATGCAAGGACAAGATTGTGTACATTGATGCTGATTGCCTGGTGCTGGCCACTCTGGCATGGTTGGCATTTTGCGCATGTCTGGATTGTTTCAAAATTAGGGTCCCATTTTGGTTATAGACTATACTACGGCACCTAATACTTAGGGGTACTAAAACGGGGCCCAGAATTTTGGGAACTACCCTAAACCGTATAAACCCCTATAAGACCTCATATCCCCCTTGAAAGGGACCCCTATTTTTGGGAAGTACCCATGTCTTTCCCCAAGCCGCTGCGGTGTTCCTCGGCTGGGAGGAGAACATCGATGAGTTGTTTGAACGAGCATGCCCCGCCTTTTGCCCAGCAGCTTGGCAAAATCTTGGCAAAATTAGGGGTACCCTAGGGTTTAGGGTTTAGGGTTTGGGTTTAGGGTAATGGAGAATCAAATGGAAAAGAAAATGGAAAATGACATGGAAACTGGAGATACAGTGGTTTAAAGGGGTACCTACTATAATGGAGAATCAAATGGAAAAGAAAATGGAAAATGAAATGGAAACTGGGTTTCTATAGGGGATTATGGGGATTAGGGTTTCCCCAAACTATGGGGTACCATTTTTGGGGGTTATCATAGTAAGGATTATAGTATGTTGGGGTCTGTATTGGGGTCCCCCTATTCAGGGAAACTACCAAGTGGTTGGCAGTGGCTTGTGCAGCCACTCGGGCCGAGCAAAAGAGGCTTTTGGCAACTGAGGGCCTTGAATCGTTTTCTATTTGCGCAGGCACTTCTTGGCCCCTCATGCTTTGAAGCAGTTGGCCTTGCTGAAGTGATTTTACGGAGCAATGCAAAGCCTATCGACTGAACAAGGCATTGGGTTTCGCCTTGCCGCGTGAACTAAATTAAGTAAGTAGCCCCTTTGGGTGCGGCAGTTAGGCGGCGTCAGGAAATTCGGGTAGTGCATAGCTGAGCCAACCTGACCTGCACGTTGCCAGCTCGAATCAGGACGTGTTTCCGCCGGACAAGTTCAATGCTGGCGTGATCGTGTTGGAGCCAAATCGACGCATCTTCCAGGCTCCATGGTGTGCGTGTGGCAGCACCGTACATTCTGCAGCTCGCATGAAGCTTGGTGAAATGTTGCCGCACCCAGATGGGCTTGTTGAGCTCAGAAAGCGTAAAGCTTGGCAGTGACTTTATGTGCAGTAGGCCTGGCTTGACAAGTGCCGAACAAGTGCCGCAGGACATGATGGAAGCCATTTCCAGGCTTCCCTCTCATGATGGAGGTTGGGCTCAATTCGTTTACTGCTTACATCGCCATCCTGGCCTGTCTGTGGTTTGCTGGAATCATCAACTACGTCCAGCAACAATATAGTGCATCTTCTACGTAATTCCAAAACGTTGCGCCAGCCTGCAAACATAACAGCTGTACATCTCAAGCACAACTGTTGGGGTGGTAGAATAGCTTGTGCGAGGCTTGGGTTTTTCATCGTTTTAGGGCACCCCAGGGATGCCCTGAAGTTGGACACTGCAGCGGGAGATTGTGGCACTGCAGGGACACTCTGAGCTGGGGCAAGTGAGCAAGACAGATTAAGGAAACAAAAGTCCACAGCATCAGCTGCGGCCAACAAACCACTTCCCCAGCCGCATCTCAGAGCGACTCCGTTGTCGTCCTTGCCACTCTCCGCGAAAGGTTCGAGGGGGCGATCTAATTTAGGGGCATATTGTATGCATGAGTTATGCCCCCATTCTCGGCACGAAGCCGAGTCAATGAGTGGAGAGGTTTTGCTTTGGAGAGCGCCCGCAAATGCCTCATTAGCAGCTTGAAAATTCCCTTTGCAACACTCCCACTCTCAGCACGAAAACCGGGGTCTGGATGGATTTGGCATAAGGCTCCCGGCCAGAAAACCAAACCCCCATCCTTGGCTCGAGAAACGGTGAATTGAACGGCACCAAAACCCCCCTTCATAGCTTGGAAGATTTGGGGGCGGGGGAGCTCTCCAAAGCCCAAATCTTGGCTGGAAAAAGAGGAGTTGGGGCGGAGCCCGCGCACTCTATTTCGGCAAGGAGACTTCGGGGTTGTGCGAATTCTGGGGCTCTGTGGCACTGCTGGGATACCCTGCGGTTGGGCACTGCTGGGATATTCTGTGGTTGGGCACTGCCGCGATACTCTGCAGTTGGGCGCTGCTGGTATGTTCTGCGGATATTCTGCGGTTGGGCAGGGATACTCTGCGGTAGAGCATGCCAGGCGCGACACGGAGGGCGCGGAGAACATAGACTTCTTAAAGTCTAACAACCCCACCATGAGGGTTGGGAACAAGTCCTGGTGACATTAGCGGCGCTGTGAGATCGCAAGAGACGGTGCATTCAACCGTCAGGTGACACTGGTTTCCTGAATTCCTTCTTCTCAGATTGGTACAATTGGCCTCCTGATCAACGGCTTCCGTTCCGGTACAACGCTCTGCGGACCATGTACTGGCAGCTTGTCTGCAGCTGCAGGCATTTGCGTTTCAACTTTGTTTGCGTATGTGTGTGAGTGCAAAAAGCCTGAATCGCTTAGCCATTGATAAAGTGGATGTAGGTGCTGGACAAACGTGCTGGTAGTAAGGTTCACGCAAGCCAATCCCGGATATTGGGAGTCCATCCAGCCAGTGAAGGCAACTACAGAGCGGCCTTTGCTCGTAGCTGTTTTGGTGTAGCGCATTCATCTCCCCTTGTTGAGAACAGACTCTCTCGCATGGCGGCATGTCGCACCATGTTATGGAGGTTGTGTTGACTACTCGTAGCTTACCTGCAGCCCTTGAAAGCACTGTCTTGTACTAGTCACGGCAGCGAGCAGGTCCTGCACTTTTGCTCGTCGCCCAAGCCGTGGGACAAAGAGGCCAAGAAGGGAAACTTGGAAATGATCTCTGGCAGCAAACAGCCGTGAAGCCGTGTCACCCACTTTCAAGCAAACATGTCCTGGGCAATCTGGCCAGAGACAGGCTATGGTGGGAACACTACTTGAAGTCACAGCTATCATTTTGATGCCCTGGCCTGAGTTTCAAAGTTACCTGCTCTGGCTGTAAATGTGTGGTGTGAGTGCAAAGGTAAAGCTCAACTTCAACGTTAAAGTTCACTGCGCGGTGATGGACATGGATGAGCTTTCAAGCGAAAATGTGGTCTCAACATCGCCGGTTCAGCCAAAGCACAAGCTGCAGCCAAACCTGTCCGGCGTGTCCTGAGCGCGAGCCCCGCATTTTGTTCAGGGGCAGCGCTGAGTGAAGGCAGCTCCGTTTCAACTACGTGCTGACTGGAACCCGCTCAAAGCCGGAGCGTGGCCAGTTCGAGATCTGCAATATCTTGCGTGCAAACCTGCGAAGGCAGTACTCTTGTTATTCTTGTATCGGCATTCAAAACTGGATGGCGACATGTGCCACATGAGCCTCTCCCTTCCCTACCCACATGCTTCCCTTTCATTCTCTCGCTCGCTCGATCTGTCTCTTCAAGCCAGTCGCGCTGCAGCTTTCGTGCCTCAGTTTTTTGGGCATGGAACTGTTAAATATGCGGCACAAGCACCAGGCATCATACATCCCTTTCTCAAAAGGCTGGGGTCCCAACCAGCCAATGGATTCAGCAACTCTGGGGTCATAATTTGGCCTGGGCAATACTCTAAGCATTGAGAGCTTGATCACGGCCACAACATGCGTCTTGCCACTCTTGGCTGATGCGATGTTCGAATTTGATTTTGACGACCTGGAGGACCACCTCCATGATTACAGTCTTGCACGGCTACCACTGGTTCGTTCTAGTCTGTTTCGTAGGAGCTCTTGCATGCAAAGATTGCTGTTGAATGGCCACAGTTTGCACCAGCTATCTTATCCCAGCTGTGGGTTTGGGTATAGTCGACCAAAGTTCTGCAAGATGTAATGTCCTGCGGTGCGAATCTCAAGTGGACCAGACCAAACCTCTTCGGGCATGCTCTGCCTGATGAATATGACCTCGCATGATGACAAACTTGCACCTTGCATGCAGGAGGAGCCTGCGCACGGCGCAAAAAATGGCGGTCAGGCACTTACTGTGCCCTCGCATCCTTTCCGAGTTCACGTTTCATTCGGCATCAGCTAGCCAGCTAGCTTTAGATTGGCTTGTAAGCTTAGGCCGAGGTGTTCGCTCTGCACCTTGCCCCGCATCAAGAGCTCTGATACAGATTCTGCAAAAGCCATGGCAGCTGCGCAGTGGTGCTGTGGCCTGCAAGTTTGCTTGGTTTCCTCTCAAGTGTATCTGAGGCATTCTCGTCCAAGGTGTCTGCGGCACCACAGGCCGAGACGTAAAGTTCCCCTGTTCATTTAGCGTGCTGCATTGAAGGCATAATCTATCATAATCTTTTGTACAGAAGCACCTTGCGTAGCCGATTTGACCTAGCTGGGGTGGCTGAAAGCAGACCGCCTGCTCCATTGCCAGGCACCCAGCGCAGATGCTAAGGCGGACGCTAAGGCCAAAGTGAAGGCCAAGGCACAACATCGTGCAGCTAACTGCAGAACTAATCAGGCCAAACCTCCTTGCTACAAAAGTTTTGCCGACAGAAGCCGTAGCTGCGCAGCGCATGGGAAGGTAGACGCGGGGGGTGGTCGTTAGGATGCGGCGCCTGTTTTTTTAATGCAAGAAGGGTTTGCTTAGGAGTGCAGCCGTTTTTGGGCAGTTCTGGGTCAAGAACGAAGTTGCCCGATCATCAGCCCAACAATGTCATAGCCTTAAGCAGCTTTTGCCCAGACCCTCACAGAGCAGTGTACACCATTCCAGTGGGCTTGATTCAATTGATAGGGGACAAAATCAAGACTGGAGCTGAACTTGCCAGCTACACAAGCATATCCTGCTGTGATGGGCGCGCCTGCCAGGGCTTAACAGGTTTGCGACATTGACTCAGCTGCCACACATGTGGACTGGCAGCGGCAGGACTACCACTACTGACAGATCATTGACACTCTATGTGACCAACATCCCGGAAAGTGTGACCGCCGCTGATGTTTCAGAGTTGTTCTGCAAGGATGAGGGCTTCTGTGGCTTGAGGGCGGTAGGAGGGACCCGAAAGATGGCTTTCATTGACTTTGGGTCCGAGATGCAGGCCACACAGTCCATGCGTCGGCATCAGGGGCATTGTTTCAAAGGCAACGAAGCCGGACTGATGATTGATTTCGACCATGACAAGCGTACGAAACGCAGCCGGGCCATCGAAAAGCCATGGAGTGCAGCATCTTTTGACAGCGCGTCGGCTAGATCAGCACATCCAGCAGGCTGGGGCCGTGGCAGGATGGGGCGAGGCCAAGCTGATAGAGGCCGCCGGCGTCTCCCCAGCCGAGAGCGTGAGGCGGCAATGTTCCGCCAGGAGCAGGCGAAACGCAAAGCTACACATCATGATCCAGCTCCCAGTGAGCAGCCGCAGGCGAAGTCCCTTAAGCGCTCACAGTGCTACTTTAACATCCGCAAGCCGCGCAGAGGTGAAGATGAGGAGCCCAGGAGTGCCGAACCACCTCAAAATCTGAATCGCCCTTCTTTGGTGGACATTTGGACTTCAGCAGCACTGTTTTGAATTCTTTGCAGTTGTTCGAACATAAATAGCTGCTATTGCAGAGCTTTTTTTGCCATTGTTGATTGCAAAGATTGGTAACTAGACTGCATGCGATGGAGCCCTTACATGTGGTACATGTTTCTTGCAGAGTACAAGCACTCAGCGCTCAGCACCTAAGCGCCTCAAGCACAGCCCACATGAATAAAGAATTCTGTTCCAGCATATGGCCATGTCATCCCATGTCAGCAAGAGTTGCACATGCAGATTGGCCAGAAGCAAAAAACGCAGTGCTGCATCGGCAAGTATCATCTGGATGCACCTCAATTTTAGCTTATCAAGGGACTCTCAAGAGTGGACATAGGGATCCCTCTTGTAGTTTAGTATAGTCCCTAATCTAGTCCCTAATGGGAACCCATCTCAACTCACTCATATAGGAAACATTGACCGTGGCACATGTGGAGTTTCCACCTTCCGTGGGTCCCTGTAATAAGGATTATGTAATTTTGTGGGGTTTAGATTGAGGCTTGTGATCAGGAAGGGTATCTCGTTTGGTCGCGGGCCTGGTGGCAGTTTCCACTCCCACAATAATAGATACTCCCCAGTATGGCACCATTATGGTGCCAGGTTTTTTTTTCATTGCTAGGGGGTGGGGGTTCATTCTGAGGAGAGAGGGGGTTTTTGGTGGGCTGAGCTGCGGGGTATTTGAAAAGAAAAGCAGCCTTGGGGTGACTTTGCCGCCTTACAGTACGTACTTCAAAGTGAGCTATTGTGACTATCAGACTATATAGTATAGTCTAAACTCCCCAAAGGGGATCATATAGGGGAGTATATAGGGGTACAAGTCATGACAAACTTGGCAAATGCCTGAGTCTGTGCCACGTATTCGACTCGAACTCACGCAAGGTGACGGGTCTTTGAAGTACTCTATTTGCAGTCCCCTGGTGAGAGAATCGATGCATCAGCACTCAGCCTGACATGTGACAAATCCAAAAACGAACCAAACGAACCTATACAAGCATCATTAATGGCTTGATGTATCTTCTCCATTGCCCGCCCGGTTGTTTCAAATGGCAGCATCATTTATCCTGAACTTCTGTGTCAAAAGTTTGTTTCCAAGGACTACAGCTCGAGCGAGACTGCAGACGACGAGCCATCAAACGCAGTTAATCATGAGGGCTGTGCTGTGGAAAAGACATCTCACTCAGGCCCGTCATAAACATACAAGTAGACTGAGGGTTCAGTTCATGAATAATGGGTAGCCCAGGCGTTATGCTGGCGTGGGTTAGTGTCCGACTTGGCGTGAAGGTCGGCATGTGCCTCATTAGGTTTGTGCTAAGGGAACACAAGCCCGGGGATCATTCAGACAAAGAGCTTTGCAATTCTGCGTTTCCAGCAGCTTATGATTCCTGTTCACTCTGCGAGGGTTGAGCAATGGGAGATTTGGGATTGGGGCCTTGCACGCCGTGTATCTTAGCGGCTTTCATCGGCTTAGCTTTCATAGCCGCGCTGCTGCTGGCGGGGAACGACCCTACATGTTTACGATTCCTCATGAGACGTGGGAGACAGTGATTATTTGTCAACACTGACTGGCAGGGCTTGCACCGCCACACTTTCACCGGCAGTGGAACCAGAGATGGCCCGGCTGTTTCCTGCTCGGTTTCCCAAAGCTGCATGTGTACGATAAGCAACCCTTCCAGAAGACATTGGCGAAGGACAGCCTGGCATTCGGGCAGCACCATGTGAGAGCTTCCCAAGATTGGGGGTGCCATATTGGGGTTCGCATAATAAGGATTATAGTATATCATAATTTTATATGGTATACTCTAGCATTTTGGGGCACTACACGAGCTCTCCGCTTGACACCTTCACTTGCTCGACCATGGCCTGGCGCTGCTCTGGTACTGGAAATGCTGACCTCGTCGCTCAGCTGCGCCAGACTTGCAAAACGCACATAATTAATACAGGTCTACAGTGCATGTATTGGGATCATATGTCATAATTCCCCCTCTAATGGAGAATCACTTGGAAAAGAAACGGGAAAATGAAATAGGAGCTGGCTTCAGATCGGAGTTATATGCAAGGAAGGGATTACGTAATGTGTGTTGGATGTATGGAGGGGAAGTGGAGTGCCTTAGGAGGACCCCCCACCCTGTAATAGTGGTATAATAGGAATACATGATGACCCTAACGTAATCCTTATTATCCCGTATAATTACTATTACTGGGTGAGGGGTCCACCTAAAAAATGCCTGTTGAGTCAGGTGCGGAATCTCCGCAAGGCTGGCGTGATTGGCACTGAGTCAGTGGAGCGTGCCATGTTGGCAGTGGACCGAGGCCTAGCTCCTTTTGGGGGCACCACATGTTGCTAGTATTATTGCTATTAAATTATTACTGATATTATTATTCATAGTAGTACTACTATTATTACAATTACAACTATGATTGCTATATGCTGGTCTTCTGTAAAAGTGATAGTCTAGTATGTTGCGCACAATGCTGGCAGAAGCCATTGCCCTGCAAGTTGTGGCAAGCAGACTTGGGTGGTGCACGTCGAAACATAACGATTCTTCGAGGCAACTATGCACCGAAGAATCCCTACACGGACGCTCCACAGATCCTTGACTTGCCTTCCCATTCTGCCCCTTCTTCGGATATGCCCATCATCGCAGGGGTTGCAAGGTGCTTGTTTGGAGGGAAGGGACCTCAAGAGGACAGTGCGAAACAGGTGTGCGAAGGAGTAGGTTTGCAGGTTCCTACCCGTCTTTTTGCTGTCGGCCTGTATCTGGTGGGATCTTCACTTTGAAAGATGTCTTGGAATCAAGCCGACCACAGAATGCCAAACGTCTCTGTTCAAGAGGCAGCCATGAAACGTGATGGTTGAAACTCAGTAGATGGCAGCCCATAACACGTCAAGACGGAGTCTCTATCAGTTCTGTGGCAATTGCTGTGAAGACAGTAGCAGTTGTCGCGCCTCTTGCATTTCAAGCTGGGGCGAGAGTGCGCAGGTTGTGTCTGCTGCAACTGCACACCAGGCCTGACACAACGAAGTCCACTTGACACCTGAGGTAGGTATGCCTAAGCTGAAAACACAGCAGAAACTGGCAACACCCGGAGCATTTTGGGAAATGAGGTCAGAGGCTGAAGATGCTTTTCATTGCGCAAAAAAGGACGCAGGGGGCGGGGGGGAGGTGCTCCGACCGCGTCCTTGCACAAGCAGCCAAGGCCCATCGGGTACCAGGCCACAATCAGCGCACCCCACATGCATGCGCATGCTCTGGAGCTGCTCTCCAAGCACTTGGAACCCGGCAGCTCGGTCAGCTTGGCTTACGGGGTGTAAAGTGCAACTAGCGTTTGCTGTTTTTCGCGCAGTTGGTGCACAAGCCGTGCAAATGGTCCCCGAGGTGCTACTAACTGTTATTTCAGCATCCCTGAAACTTCGCTAAGCCAGGCTATGCAGATACGCGAAGCTCAGAGCTCCAAAGGTAGTTCTTCAGCGGGTTCCAGAATCCCATCACGCCTAACTTCTGCCGTTTTGATGATAGGAGGTCCTCCTTTCCACAATTTAAGTCAAAGGAAATCAATGGACCAAGGCATGCGTGCCCTTGATGTGGGTAGTGGTAGTGGATACTTGGCGGCGGTCATGGCCCGAATGGTTGGCGCAGAGGGCAGGGAAGGCGGTAAGGTGGTCGGCATTGATTACCTGTCCCCGCTCGTGGAACTTGCGGTAGAGAATGTCATGAAGGCCGATGCCGATTTGCTTCAGAGCTCCTCGCCACAAAACGTTTGCCGGACATGGAAATTATGAAATTCTCGCTCCAGCAAGGTCTGCATCCGGGTTCTCCTATTCAGTCTGAATCCTCTTCCTGAAAAAAAGATATAACTACACTGCTCTTGCCTTTTTGCATGGTTACGGGGGGAGTGAAGGATGCCTCGATTCACTTGGGAGGTTTGATGGAGCCCACCATGAGGGCCAACTTGTGATTGCCCCTATCCACTGCAGCATGCAGGTCGGAGTAGGCACATTTTGAGTAGTAGTTCGTGGGCTAGCGTGAGCTGAGGCGGACTGCTTCAGTTGGAGCAGGGCGATGGGTGGCAGGGATACGAGAAGGTGAGCGGTTTCTGCTTGTCTGTCTGAGACACTGCAGACGGCCAGCAGCAAGTTGCTTCTCCCGACAGCAACGTCAAACCCATGAAAGGATGCGCACTGGATGGTTTAACCCCCCTGAGCTGTAGACCCTGCAGACAGGCCATGCCGTTTGATTGTATCCACGTGGGGGCAGCCGCAGAGTAGCTTTCTTGCCATGTTAGCAGCTTTTCAGTTCAGTTATGGTAGTTTCCCAAAATAGGGGGGACCCTAATATAGACCCCAAAATACTATAGTCCTTATTATAGGGACCCCCAAAATGGTACCCCTAATTTTGGGAAATCCCCTTATCATGGGATGTAGTTAACTGTCCTTTTACCTCGGCAGGGCAGGAAGCTTCTATAGAAATGTTGGCGTCTCAAGTCAGCTTCTTACTGAAGCTTTTGTTGCGTAGCAATTTTGGATGAGTCTGGTGTGCGTCATGGTTCTGTGAACCAAGGTCTGTTCCGGAGGCCCTGCTGGAGCAGTTAAAGCCTGGGGGCCGCATGGTGATCCCTGCCACTTGGCAGCGCGCAATTTGCATATGGCCATGGCAGCTTCCGAAAGAGGCTGCAGAGGGCTCATGAGCTACAACACATGTGCATTGGTAAAGAAGGCAATAGACGAATAGTTCCCATTCTCTTTTCCATTGTCCATATGTAACCCTAATAGAAAATAGTAATAGTAGTTTCCATTTTTCCATTATCCCTATGAAGCCCCCATATTCCCATAACAGCTTCAGGGTTTCCAGGCTGCTTCTTTTCTTTGTAAGGCCCAAGGCATCTAACCCTTGACACCGGAACGTGGGTAAAATGAATGATTTAGCAACTTTGGAGACCCGCGAAATAAAAACGTCTGACTGTCGACATCTAGTATAATCCCTGATACAGGCCCTAGATGAACGCATATCGGTCTGTATGAGCTCGGGCGGAGCTGTAACACAAACCGTTTCGAGTCCTGGATATCAAGGTAGGCACCACGTCACAGCAGTTCTGCCAGATTGTGCCTTGGCAGAAGCTGCTGGCAGAGCACGGATGATCTGGGGCTATGCGAGGAGTATTACCATTAGGATTATTATTACTAGTACTACCATTATTCGTATTTTGATATATGATTATTGGTTAGGACTATTATTGGCATGATTGTTATTTTATTAATATTATGTAGGGACTATGTCGTGAGGTGGAATGCCACGCCACTGACCTCAGCCGGAGAAACAGTGTTTCCAGTCCAAACCCATAAAAGAAGTGCAGCTCCATCGAGCGGCGCAGAGCGGCACCAACCAAAAAGCTGGGTTCTATACCCGAGCAAGAAGTTCGTCCCAGGACCGCCTTCCAAACGGCAACTTCGAGCAGAAAAGCCTGATGGGAGCAGCATTGCAGCAAGCTTTGTTGGGGTCCGACTACTGTTGAAATAAGTGGTGTTGTCTACTCCATATGAGATGTGCTGATCAAACTGATGTTGTCGACGGTCGGGCTATGAATACATTCTGCAGCCAGCAGATGCAAAGGGCCGTTCTCTGAGCTCAGGTCATGTATGTCCCGTTGGTGCACCCTCTGCCGCGGATTTGAAGGTTGGGATCTGCCAAGTGCGTCGAGGTAATCCACATGACAGCTTCAAAGAGAAAGAACGCACATCATGCTCACCTGCAGGTGTTGAGCGTTGGAACGTTCCACGCCACGGACAAGCACAGCTGGCACTCATGGCGTCTGACAGAGGACCCTTTATCTCTGTGGTTTGGAATGGGCAAAGCACCAAAGAGATCCAAAGAGTAGATTTGCAGGCATCAGCCTGGGATGTATACAAGGTGCATCGAGTCACCCACGCTGTGCTGGGAAGCTAGTGGCAGCAAAGGTTAGGACTGATAGCTATTGGTATGGACATCTTGGCCACGTCATGCTCACTGAAAGGCTGATCCTGCTCCGTGCCAGATAAAACCCGAGCAACTTCCTGGTGGCTAGTCGGGAACAAGGGAATATAGTCTACAGTGATGTATATAGGGATTCTATAATACCTAAATAATCCATACTATAATCTCTATCGAATCCCTATATGGGTAGTTCCCAAAAGTATGGGCCCTTTGGTTTTAGATTATATTACGGCGCCTAATATGTAGGGGTACCAAAATTGGACCCTAATTTTGGGAACTACTTGTACCTATATGATATATTCCCCTGTTCCCTACAAACCGCCAGTAAGCCATCAGCAGCCTGCGGCTCTCGCACAGTCCCCTGTCGGTCAGAGGTAAAGGAAGGTTTAGGGTGTAGGGATACGAAAAACGATCAAAATGATTTAGATTTTTTGGGTCTATATTGGCGTTCTCCGATTTTGGGGAAGTATCATTTGGGGTCTCCCCCACATAATGGCCCTGAGTCAATCTCCTCAAGTCCAAAGATGCTGCAAATACTCAGAATTTTGAGGGGTGAACATTTAAGCTTGGGTACTGCCCCCACCCAGTAACAGTCTATATTAGGGGTCCTATTAAGGGCTATATATAATCATATTATGTTTATTATCCAACTGTTATTGAGGGGGGGCAGTACCGAAATTTGAGCCCATGGTTTTGAAGGATCCCGGGGTGACTAGAGCCCGTCTTGAGGCATGGACGTAGGGAAGGAAAGAGAAAGCTCATTTGTCCTTTAGCCTGGCAGAAGGTCTTGACCCCACTTCTTGAGCTCCAAACGCTTCTGCGGTTGGATTTGCTTCTCTTAGGACGTTGCTTGGTTTCATGTCATGCCTTGACGACACCGCATCTTTTTATTTTGTTTTTCTCCTCTTCTTCGTGTTGGGGGACCAGCAAGCCCGTCTCCAAAGTAATGGTGGAGACCAGCATGCTGGAACGTGAAAAGGCTACACATGAATTTAAATGTTGTACGTTGCCTGAGTTTTAAATAGATAGCAGATTGTCATCCAAAGGTTGGTTGCGCAAGGGCTGCCACTCCTGTAACTAGGCAAATTAATCTGCAAAACACATTGGATCTGTTAGAATCGGCCGTCTGATATGCGCAGCCTGGAGAGATCTGGACCGCAGGGGACTTGGCACATGCAACTATGTCAAGGTGGATTGGAGGAGCAAAGGGCGTCAAGTCAAGTACGGTCATAGCTCTTTTTGTGTTTCTGAAAGTGTCCATGCTGTCACTGCTTCGTTCCTCCTGAAGCCGTTCTAATATCTTGTTTGGTGCGGGGAATCACAAGACCACCTTGATGAATCCTTTGGCACGTTCTGCGACAGAGTTGGGCACAAACGGGATATGTCTCTACATCTTGACAGCACGGGCGCTGTGTTTGGGAAGGGAAGTTGGGGCCTCAAACCTCCTTAGAGCATGAGACATATCCGATGACAGACTACGAGGCTACGCAGGCATTGCCTCAAACTATAAGTTACAATTTCAGTCAGCAGCTACGTCAAGGAGATGCGGAGTCTCACATGTGCCGACTGCGCACACAGGTGCGTTGCATTCTGTAGGCAAGACCTCCGCCCGAGGCATCTTTAGCATCAATTGCTCACGCCGCTTGAGGAAGCCTCTGGCATTTCGAGCTGATGCTGGAACACCGGAAATGCGCGTTGGTAGCCAAACATCTGCACCAAGCAGACAACAGAGATGATACCCTTACAGCAGGTCGTTGCCGCAGATTTGCTGCAAGTAGATTTGCGATCAGGAATCAAAACATGCTTGTGGGGCGAGTGCTCGCTTTTCAAGGTTCATGCTAGAGACGAAATTTCAGGGTTTTCAGCATTTGGCTTGATCCCTCTGTTAGCTCTGCACAGATATCTTTGTAAGCTGACGAGGGCGGATGCAAATGATGGTAGGTGGGGGAAAACCCAAGTTGCAACCAGCTTATATCTTATAGTGCCCATGGTTGCGCTTATTGACAGGCAGGCTGCAAGGAAAAACCTACATCCTCTAGTCCCTTAGCATTACCATTTATAGACGGCTCTAGTTCTCCGATGTATACCCACCTAGACCCCCAACCCTGAATCCATATCACCCCACTTTCCATTTCAGGGGTACCCTAAACCCCAAACTCTGAACCCTATACTATAGTAGTTCCCATTTTCGTTTCCATTATCCCTATAAAGCCCCCATATATCCCCTATATAATCCCTATACAATCCTTATATAATCTTTTTTATAATCCCTTATATATAGACCCTAAACCCTAAATAGCAGATGACCTGAAGGCTGTGAAGCCGAAACCTGACTTGCTGGGAGCCCTCGCGGTGCGGGCCTAACCTAACTTGGGACTTGAATGGGAATAGGCTGTTTAGGGTGTAGGGTATAGTAGGACTATGATAGAATATTATAAGGAACCTGGTAGGTATATTCTTTGATATTCCCATTATATTCTCGGGGACCTGTTTGGGGTTCCCACTAGAACCCTAGACTTCCCAGACGGCCCAGAGGGATCGACAAAATCGATCCCTAGAACCATATGAGCTGAAGTCTAAATCGTTTTAAGGGGGTTTTAAAGGAGACTACTCTAGGGGTTATTACGCGGTATACTGGTAGTTTAGACTATAGCTGATATGGATTTAGGGTTTAGGGTCATCAAGTCCAGATTCAAAAAGGGTTTAGGGGGAAATAGGATTCTATAGGAGTTATTATGGGACCATATAGGGATCTGTTGTTTAGATCCTAGCAGGGGTCTGTGTTGGACACCCTTTCCTCACTGGGCTGAGGCTTTAGGCTTCTTTACTACAGAATTCGCAATGGCAATCCCTATCAGGCTGAAGAGACCGCCAGGGCTGCGGCAATGCTGGCGAAGCCTCTTGCACCAACTGGAAGATGTTAAATTTGTAGGTTCGCAGGCGTGGCCCCCGAATGGAATCTACATGTGTATTCCCCTGCTCCCAATACTAGAACCCCCAAACCCATGTTAATAGATTTTCCCATTGTGGTATATCACCATAAAAAAGGGATCTTTTTATATTGCGGGGGTGGTGTGCTTCAACATTAGGAGGAGGACATAAGACGCCGAGGTTCGCTCCTGTAGGCGGAGCGCCATCACCAATGCCAGTGCCAACGCCAGCACCGCAGAGGCTCCACCATCAGCGCACTCATGGTGGATCCAGAATTATTGGGATTAGAGTTTAGGGTTTAGGGTCATATTTGGGATAATGGAAAACAAAATGGAAACTACTATTATCATCCCCTACCAAACTTGAAGAGCCTGGTGCTTGCAGAAGCCAGCTACAAACCAGTGCTCCTACGTGCGTGAGTCGTTATTCCTTGCTCTGCAGCCTTCGGTGCGAAGGGCTGTGGTGGAGACTGGCCCTGTTCCGTATCGTGCCCAGCTCTCAGAAACCAAGAAGGGATCATTAGAACTTGCGCATAGCGTTACCGCAAGATGGCCGTAGGTCCCAGGGTCTTGCCTTAGCTTTGCTGGGCAGAGCAGACTGTTCTGAGCAGCTGCAGAAGGAACCAAACACATTGCAGTCTGCTGATACAATTACACTTGCGGCTCAGCAGAATCCTTGCGGCAGTCGTAGAAGCAGCCTCCTAATGGATCAGCCATGCCGCGGAAGACTATCATCTTTGTTCGCCATGGCGAGTCGGAGTATAACAAGGACCGGCACTTCTGACACGAGCTGCAGTATTGTGCGTGCTCGGCTTATCATGCCATGCTGGGGAGGGGGTTCAGCTTCTCGAGAGGTACACAAGCGGTATCTGCAAAGCAATTTGCATGACCCTGTTGCGGACGTCGGACGTGGCAACCGACATGTTGAATTCCTGTTCAGGCCATGCGCGAGACGGGGGAAGACCCACTTCTCCGCGATGCACAGCTCACCGAACACGGACGTGCCCAGGCGCTCTTACAGCGAGCAAGACTGTAGAAGATGCAAGCTGCTCTGACCGTTGGCACAGTTGACTGATACGGTGTAATTGAAGCGAAGCATGTTGCATGGGATGATGCCAGGCAGCGGCCGCGGGGCCACAGCTGCTCAAGCTCCGCGAGGCACGCAGGGCATTTTGCATTTGGTCTTGCCTAGGAGCTCAATATGATTGCATGATTTTGCATGATAAAGACTCTGGTAAAGGCTGGTTTCAGCAGATGGCAAGTGTTTCTTCGACCTGTCACAGCTTGTCAATCTTCCACATGGTCATGGTTCTTAGAGTCTTTTCTCCCCTGTCGCACCCAACCATATCAAGTGCTGCAGGAGTGTGGATCCTTGGAGGGAGACTTGTCTAAAACAGTACGTAAGAAGTGGTTTTGCATGGTAGGCTGCCGTGGTCCATGTGTAGATTCTGGCCTACACGAATGGCAACGTGGCAAGGGTGTACAGGCTACTTTTAAAGGTGGAAGTCATTACCGTGACTTTGTTCCGTCAGCATTCGAAAGAGAAAAGGCGTTGCTGTTTGCAGTGAAGTGGGATTTTGCATATCAATCACAAGAAGGGGTTTCCAAACAGCTTCCAAACATCCATCCCTTCCAGCCGGTCGATTGTGTTTCGAGCTTCACATCCAACGATATGCGTAAATCAAAACGTGAGCCTGTCGGCTAAGAAGCAAACATGCGCATGTGCCAATTCACGTCTCCAAGAGATGGAGTGATGAGGCTGGTTGCTTCTCAGCTCGCCGTTGCGGCGCGCGCTCGACACAGCAGCAGGTTCACAGATATTCAAAGGGTCTTTGCTGGCAGCGCTGGCAGCACTGTGGGATGAGCAAGCATGCAACAAGCTTGACATAAGCTCCATGACAAAGCACCAGCTGCAAGACCCCGACCCGACGAAGAGGAATGCTTGCATTCCATGGGTCCCTGCCAGGGATTTGGCCAGAAGCCTTCAATGCCGAGCCTGGGACCCGCTTTGAGATCTGGCCAGAGCTACGTGAAGTGGCCCGGGTGCCCAGCATTTGTCACCATGGTTGCATAGGAACCTGGGAAGAAGCCGGGAAGAGCTGGCTGAGCATTTTTACAGACGATCGCAGCAAGTTTCTTGTACAGTCCGTTCGCACCCGTTTGCCTTGTAGAGTGAGGGAACAGTGACCAGTGAGGTGACAGGTTGTGATGACCTGGGCTCCACGCCGGCTCAGCTCCAACTCGCCTTTCCACACCTGGCTGCGCAGCTCTGCACTCTGCCAGAGGTGCGCAGGAAGTTTCAATGATACGTAGCTGGCCAAAGCAACTGCATGCTGACGGACATGTGCGGGCATGCAGGTATGGTGGACGATCCCGGAGGCTTACCAGGATGTTCCTGTTGAGGGTGCCTCGTCTGAGGTCCTAACCGGCAGATGACGGAACGATTGACTGCAAACTTCTTTAAGAAACAGTGAGTCGAAGAGCTTGCAGGGGGAGCCAAGCTTCAATGACACTTAGTATATTTGGGCCAGACAAATGCCAGGCTTTACCGGTAGCCTCGTTGGGATGGCCTGCTTGCATGCAGCCGTCCTTTTTCGGCTCAGGATCGGCCCTGCGCGATGCATACGAGCAGGACTCCGAGGCCAAGTGATGAGCGACAGTTGAATCCCAAGCACTTGATGCACACAGTACCTGGTTGGGAGCATGGGATGGTCCGAAAGTAGTAGTTCTGTGCTGGAGGCTTTCGAGGAAGCGGATGAGGCTCTCTTCCCTGAACGCCTGGAGCGCCTTCTACGGATGTTGGCGTCGGTAGAGGAGCAGCGCATGGCTTCTGCCTCAGAGACCTCGACAACGTCAGCATGTGTCAGGAGGCTTGCAGGTGCTCTCCAGGCAAGACAATGCGCGGAGACAATGGTAAAAGCATTGCTGCATGAAGACTCAAGATACCTGGGTCCTGGGTGCTGGGCATGAGTTGTTCTTGACTTGAAGGGCCTCCCTGGTATCATACGTGCTTTTCCGTGGGGCATAGGTCCCTACTCCAGGACTACTGCTCATCAAGCTAAGCTGCCAGGATTCGGATCATATCAGGGTATATGCGCATCAAGAAGTTCAAGTATTGAGATTACCTCAGGCCCACAGAGCTAGAACCCAAGGACAAGCAAAAAGGATTCAATACAGTTACCCTAAACCCTAAACCCAGTACCAAGGGCAGCCGTTGGCAAAGCAAGCTGGGTAGGTGTCTATAAGCAAGTCATTAAGCTCGGAGGCCACTATCTCACTATGGCACCATAATTTATTAGGGTATATATTGCGTTTATATAGGGATAATGGAAAAGAAAATGGAAACTATAAGGATTATAGGGATTATATTAGGGTATATATTGGGGTTATATTATGTTGGGATCATGGAAAAGAAAACGGAAACTACTAGAATAGAATAGGGTCAGAAGAATTGCAGGCTCAGCTGGAATGTTTTGGAACCGACCTGCCTGCGCTGTAAACTCTTTGGCCGCTTGCGTGAGAGCATGGTCCACAAATAAGCCCCGAGATGATTCTAGGGTTTAGGGTTAAGGGTTATATAGTATATAGGGATTATAGGGTATATATTGGGGTTATATAGGGATAATGGAAAAGAAAATGGAAACTACTATTTAGGGTTTAGGTAAGTAGATAGAATATGATTCTTGGGTATATTACAATAAGATCCTCATATATCCTATAAACCTAGAATCCCTATGTTAACCCATTATAGTAGTTCCCAAGCAAGCCCTGATACTGTTGATGGATGAAATCTTGCACCACCCCAAGTCCCTAAAGTCCTAGGAATTCCAGTAGTTTAGGGTCCCTAGGTGGTGCAAGATTTCATGCATCAACAGTATGATCAGGTTGTGGTTGCTCACTGCGACTTGATTGGGGAGCTCACAGAGCGGATGGGCTTGACCTCGCAGCTCGGTGCTAAGAAATGCTTCTGGGTTCCAGGACCCTCCTTGTACCCTTAATTGGGGATATGTGGTCCCTAATTGTAGGTACTTAGGCCCTAATAGAGGGTAGGAGGAGGGTCTAGGTTCAGGATTGTCATAATATGTTAGGGTATATTTTAGGGTTATATTATATTGGGATAATGGAAAAGAAAATGGAAACTATAAGGATTATAGGGATTATATTAGGGTATATTTGGGGTTATATTATATTGGGATAATGGAAAAGAAAACGGAAACTACCACAATAGATTAGGGTGTAGATTGGGGTTATATTGGGAGAATGGAAAAGAAAAAAGCAGCCAAGGAAGAAGAAGTCTGGCAAGCTGCAAAAGGGGTGGTGGCTCAGCATCCTGCCTTGCAACTTCTGTGGGCAGCATGAAGGCAGGCTATCCAGCGGCTGTAACGTTCACCATAATACATTAGGGTATATATCGGGGTTATATTATATTGGGATAATGGAAAAGAAAATGGAAACTACAATAATAGAATGTATTGAGAACAACTCCTGTCCTCAGTTCCAGTCCTCGACACTGGAACTTGATGAACGTTCTTCCGCAAGATTACGCTTCCAATTTTTCACGGACGGTTTCAATGAATGCCCTTCGAGGACCTGGAATTTGCAATAACGTGGAGGTCTGCTAATGTGAGGTCAACATTAGTGGAATAAGTAGCTGGAAGCAGCACGTGAGACCATGTAGCAGGTAGAATGTATGCTGGCCTAGGTAACTGCGAGTGTCGAATCCTTCGCGACTTCGATTTTGCCGATGTTCCGGACCGTTGAGCCGGGATCTGCAGCCCCACTCATTGTGTACAGCACTTCGCTGCATCCCAGTGGCTTCCGCAGGCGGAAGTCCTGTGCAGCCGCACGCATGTCTATAGAGCTGTACAGACTGCTCACCACGAAGCTGTGCGAGGTGCCTTAAATGATGAAATGTGCGAGACGTGCATGGGTTGCACAGCTAGTGTCGGCAAACTGTTAAGTGTCAAGACGTGCCATGTGCGCAGAGCCGCCGTTTCTGAGGCACCGGAAGCGGCGCCTGTGGCAGCAACCAGCCCTGCGCAGCCCAGGCGGCTTGGCCTTGTAAAAATTATTGGTGTGCTTTTGGCAGCCAAGTTGGAGGACCAACGGAAAAGCCACAGCCACAGCCAAGATTCCTGCGTCAGTTGCGTCCGAGCCCTGGAGGGGCTGATAAGTTTTTGGGTCAGCAACTTCAAGGTGTGGGAAAGGATTAGATGTTAGTCTCTGTGCTGCCTGCAGGCCGCAGAAGACTATGAGGAAGCCAGAAGTTTCCGACAGGTTCTGCCAGGGTTGCTTGACCAGCTGCCAGTGCCTACAGACAAGACATGAAGCTTGCAGAAAGCAGCTATGACAAGAGTACGGTTAATTATTATCATAGTGGTCGGTCTGCGATTGCCTGAGCATTTGAAGCAGATCCGCGGATGATGCGACGCTGCGCGCAGAAGCAGAGGCCAGTGTGACAACAAGTTTTGCAGTGGCAACGCTGACGGTAGGCATGGTAGTATAGGATGTATACAGCCTTCAGGTGTGCCAGCGTTAGGGGGATACTCCGAAAACTGAGGAACGGAACGCCCAAGGCTGCATGTCGGTGAGTCATGTCATTGTGGGAACGATTTTCGTATTGCTGGAGAGCAAAGTTAAAACTCAATCGCCTGTGACGCGTGTAGTTTAACTCGCTTGAGATAGTGATGCGATCATGACGAACTATCTATATGTTTAACTACTATTTAACTACTGTAGTGTGACTATAGTGTTACTGTGCAGTCACTAGATTATTCCTACATTACGCATTATATTATTCCTTAACGGCTAGCAAGCCCTAAACCGTTTACCTGCAAGGAGGCCTCAAACGAAAGCCTAAATGAGCTATAGTCTAAACTCCTGAGAGGGGGTTTATATAGGGGACTATAATAAGCATCATGAAAAGGGATGTTAGGAGTTTACATCTGTTTACATTATGTCTCAAATCATGCTACCGGTAGGCATCTGAACATGGAGCCTTTATAAAGTGCATCCGCTACACCCCTAACACGGCCCATTTTGTGGGTGGGCTCCCAAAGGAAGGTTCCTGGAAGGTTCCTAAAGACCATGGGAAATTTGTCAAAGTGGTTGAAGATGTCCGTCCGTATCTCAAGTTGTTTGAAAACATGCGTCGCTTGTGGTAACCCCGCATACCTGGGCAGTGGGGACCGGCAAAACTTGCAGCGTCCTTATGGACCTGGACATCAACATATCCTGCGCATCTGAAAGTCACAGGCGAGGCTGTTCGCAGCACGCGCTCGGTCCGAGGGCTGTGTAAGAGTGCGTGTATGGCTTTTGCGCCCAAGAGCACACCTGAACATGTTTGCCTGAAGGCAGCTGCCGAGAGAGCTATCGAGCATGACCGCAGCACCCACGGCGAAGACTGGTGGAAGAAGTTGAAGGCCAACGGGTGGTGGATGAACTTGATATGTGCTCCTACACGCGCCTGTTGCGGGCAGGCTCCCAAAGAAGCAAAGCCCGTGCAGCGAGTGGATCGTGTGTGCCATGCTCGGCCTGCTGTGGCGATGTCATTATCCTTTGCCTCGAGCTCCAGCGATTCTGTAGCTTTTGGACTTGATTTTGCTGAGGCCAATGTACAGAAGCCAGTCCAGCAATGAAGCCGAGCAGCAAAACCGGCCAGTTCCCGAACTTGGGCGCATGTGCAGTTGCAAGATGCCCCTAGCAGTTATTTGATCAAGGAGATAGGCCGCACTTGGACAATTGCAAGCCCTGAAGTGTGATTCAAGACGCAAGACTTTGGCTGAGTCACAGATGGCAGGTGCCAGCTGCCCACCAGGCGCTTCAAGGTTCTGGCGCAGGCGGCAGCATAGCGACAAGAGTTTGATGTGCTCAAGGTCGACAGTTTTGGGCTGTGGTGTCGGCGTATACTGGCAAGGTGCAGCCTGTTCGTGCCCAGCCCAAGCCCCAGCCAAACGGGAAACGAGAGACATGGCTACGCTGACTTTGCTAGATCCCTCTTCTTCATGTAGGGAGGGGTACAAGCGGCCAAAGGTATTGAGGAGCTACTCCTAGAGGGGCCGATCATAATCACCGGCCCTGCCTGCCGTACCAGTCGAGCGCGTCATGTGAATTCTCCAGAGACCCATTGGCGCAGCATTTGGCTCTGTACATGCAGACAAGTGATACCCAAATTCTTGAACCAAAGAGCGTCCAGCAGCACGACTGACAAGTTTGCAAGAATCAAAAAGGCGTCCCCACTACCTAGTCGCACCCAGTTCAAGGCTTTAGTGCAGCTGCAGACTGCATCTCATACAACTTTCCAACTTTCTGCTGGAGGCGGGAGGTGAAACACCCTCCATGAAGGGTTCGCCATGCCGGTTCCTGCGAGTGTCACAGCACAGGCAGCACAGGGCCCCAGCCCCAAGGCCAGGCAAGTGTCAACCGAAGTACCGCATCATATGTACTTGGATGCTGCGTAGATTAGTGGATACATGATGACTATGATGGAGATGTCTGGCTGTAGGGTATCATTGTCAGGGCCTGTCAATGTTTGACTGGCCCGCCTGCAAGACTTGCAAGGTGATCGATGCTCTGGAGCGAGCTGAGAAAGAGTTGAAGACCGCAACCGAGTCACTCAGTTTGGTGGGTCAGCAGCTGGATTCCCTCCGTAGCGTCGTCTCTGATGGAGACGCTCAGGCCAAAACTAAAGGGCAGCTTTGTCCTCCAAAGCCTGCAGCAAGTAATTGTAAACTCTAGCGCGCGTCCGCCTTGGCGGCCGGGCTGCAAGACATTGCAAAGCAATGATGATCGGAGTTTTTGAGGGACCCGGGGCGGGGGTGATCGGGGGGGGGGGATGGTTGGGGGAGGGTAGGGAGAGGGGGAGAAGGCTAGACTGGTCAGCTTGTTCCAGACGCCTGTCGGCAAGAGGCCGAGGCAAATTTTGATGTCGTCGTGCACTTCTAATAAGGAATCTTTCTTAGCTCCGCCAGCGTTGGAGCAGCTCGAGCCGGACCAGCCAAAGGCGGCCAGGACAGGTTCGAAGCTGGCAGTGCAAGATCCACCTGGCCTCCTTTTGCATCGGCATAATCTGAAGAAGCGGAAGGACAAGCAGGCGTGTTATCAGCTCTGCGTAGCTGTGCTATATGCTCACTTAGAACCCTGTTCATCCAGCAGTTGCTACAAGTGCGACAGGTGGCAGCTCAACCGCGCTTCCGCCGAGTGAGCGTTGTCCAGTCCAGTGGGGGTGGAGCAGATCTTCGTCTCCATGGTCGGTGGATGGAGCTGCCGCTTGGAAGATGGCGTATGGGGGTGTTATGGTTTGGCGTACAAACGGGCATGCTGCCTGACGGAGGCACGATGCGCACATCAAACAGCAGGCAAACTCCGGAAGCACAAAAGGTGGCTTACATGCGTCTTGATGCTCAAGCAAATAGCTATGCAACGTGCAGGCGTGCAGTTTCAGAATTGCCTACCCAATCTGCAAAAAGAAGTTCGAAGCCCCTAGAGCAGGAAAAATGCCGTAGGCGAGCCAGTGCCCCCATCCATCGAAATGTGAAGCCAATGATACTTCGTACTCGTATGTCGCATGCCAAGAGAGCAACCACAACACAAAAAGAAGGGGAACAAGGCATGCTGAGTTCAGGGGCCTGGCCTTGTTGGAATCTGCGGCTGCCCTCAACTTCCTGGGGTCAGGGCAAAGGCAGCATTTGAAGATCCCAAATAGTGCATGTAATTTCATGAACTTCATAATTACATGGGAGTCAAAGGCCCCTGGCGCAAAACTCAAAACGCAGAGCATGTCAGAAATCCCTGTTGGTTCCAACTGTATGGGTGCAAGACTCACCCTGCAGAGCTGTCCTATGACAAAGTACACTGATCCCGCCAGTGCTCAGTCGTCGGTCTGGACTTGTGACTTATTCTGCTTAGGTCCACCGAAGCCTCAAAGGATGGACCTCCTGGCAACAGAGACAGGACCGCGAACAAGGCCATCATGTACAGATGGCACTTCGCTTTTCTCAAAGTACAGCAAACAAGATAGCCTGCCTTTTTGGGCACGAGATTAGGGGTTTTGGGTGCTGCCGAGGACGTAAACATATGTCTATTATTAGTATCACCGTATTACCGGTATTAATGTGTTATATTGTTATTACTAACAATATGAACATTACAGCATTATTGTTGTAAATGTGGGCTTCTGTGCAAGTTTGCAGGCCAGAGGCGCTTTCCGGTCTCGGACAGCTACGATGGATGACCTGGCAGTGGTCAACTTGGCCAGCCGTTTTCCAATCCTGCACCCTCAAGGCGCCGGAAGCACTTCAGCCATAGTCTGAACTCCTCAAAGGGGCTATATAAGGAATTGCTCAAGGAATTATAATGGGGAGTATTATCAGGGTTACTAGGGGGGATGCTAGGAGTTTGTTTATGGGTCACAGGAGCCCCCAGAAAACTCAAACAATTGCATTGTGGCCACCTTCGAGAGATTGCGGCGTGCCTGCGATGTTCTGCAAGCATTGGAATTGAACACACCATGCAGAGGTCTTTTCAAACTTTGCTGGGACATCATGGCACTTGCTCTACTCTTGAATGACTGCATCTTGCTTCCTGTTGCTCTTGCATGGGATGCTGGTCTGCATCATCATGATTGCTTCCGAATTTTCCTGCCTGTGCTGGAAGCAGCTGTGCCTGCAGCGGAGAGCAGCTGAGGACTTTTCCATGACAGACCAGGACATCGGAGGTATATACACTGCAATTACTTTCTATGTTAGTGCCCTGACTGAATTGGTATGCAGCACCCTTTATATCCCCTTATTATAGTTCGTACCTAGGTTGAGAGGATTTGAAACTTGACTTCCCAAGGCTGGTTCGACCCATGGGTGTTCTGAGCTGAGGTCTTATCTTCTGGTCAACAGATCTGCCTATCAATCTCAACACTGCCGTCTACATGCGAGGCCGATTGGTCCGCTGCATTTGCATTGCCTGGAATAGTACGGCTCACCCATCGTTCCTGTTACGTAACACATCAGCACCTGGCAAAAAGGCAGCCTGGTTATGCGACGCCGGAGCATTCTACTACACTATGCTCAAACGTGGATGATCCCACACCTGTCATTCAGCAGGTGATTTGATACGTTGCTTTTGTGGTTTTGTCGTAGAGTTTGCTCAAGAATTTTGGGAGCGCTTTCACAAATTTGGATTTTTCTGGAGTATAAGGATGTTCGACTTGTTCGTGCTCACGCTGGACTATGGCTATCTCATGTTGAGTGCTGACATCGTCTTGCTGCGCTTTGTGCGAATCTTGCGGGTTGTGCGCTTGATACGCACCTCTTCTGCAGCGAGCAAAATTTGTGCATGCGTCAATTTTTGCCGAATTGGTCAAGACCTGTGAGGCATTGTCAAGCTCTCGAAGCTGAATACAATGATTGAGGAAAACGCGGCATCTGCCGGGCGACAGTGGGTCACCCTAGTAGTTGCCATCACCAAGACGGCAATCATGATGCTGATGGTTGCGCATTTCCTCACATGCGCCTGGTTTTACATCGGGCTGAACTTGGGCCCTGAGCTCCCAATGGAGAGCTGGGTCGAAATTGCACTCATCGCAGAAAGAGCTGATTCTGGGCTGCACGTTGGACAGCCTAGATTCGCTCCATGGGCTTTAGCTTCGCGTTTTCAAGCAGATGTCTTTGCTCCTCCAAGGGCCGCAACGCATCCGAATCAAATTCGACGCTGGGCGGTGTGCTAGACAGGGTGGAGCACTTGGTGCCTGGTTGGATCCAGTACATGCACTCGCTCCGCTGGATCATGAACTCGCCGTCCCCCCCGGCACCTTGGGCTCCAAGAAGTACAGACAGATCCGCTGTCTAAAGGGTTCTTTGGGAAGCGAGCAGCTAATGAGCATGCCAAGGAAATGTCCGCTGGAAGTGGAGTTGAATGGGGCTTCGACATCATGATCTCAGTGGTGACGCTTGTCGTCCCGCGGCAGTCCAATCTAATAATCTACAACTCACTTTTGAACAGCATTGAGAGACTGTGTGAATTGACTTGATGCCGTGCCTGGCTTTCGAATTGTTATGGTGAGCCTAGCAAGCAAGCTGCAAGACCAAACTCAGGGGCTGGGAATGCAATCTTTTTTCCTTTTCAATGAGGTAATTGGATCAGCTATCTCGAAGATCTCTGGGACGACAGCGGAACTCAGGGCCATGAATGAGGTCCTTCACAGAGAGCTGTGTCAAGGTTGTTTTTGATCCAGCGTGGCTGGCGCTGGTTTTGAGAATACACTATAGTAAGTTCCATTTTCCATCATCCCAATAGAACACCTATCTATATATATATATATATGTCTCTCTCTCTCTCTCTCTCTCTCTCGCTACATCCCTATATAGTAGTTTCCATGTTATTCTCCAGTATTCCCTATATACCCCGTATATCCCTATGTTTTGAGTATATTGTTGTGTAGCATGGCAGCAGGGGGACCTACAGTAGCGTTTCATCAGTGCCTGGACTCCCTGGTGGGTTATATTTGGGTAATATTGGGGTTATATTGGGGTTATATTTGGGATAATGGAAAATAAGATGGAAACTACTATAACGGGTCATGTAGGGATTATAGGGTTATATAGAGGTAATATAAGGATCATGGAAAATAACATGGAAACTGCTATGTAGTGTTTAGGGTTTAGGGCAAGCCATCCCCACTGGCTCCTATGACCAGGAGAGTGACCGGCGGAGGCGGGACGTGCGACTCTATTTGGCTGGGCAATCCGTTTCGCTGCTCAGCAGCAATGCCCTATGCATAGAGTCGTTGGAATTCCTGCCTACTTCTGTGGGACAGTTTCGGGCAAGTGGGCTATGTTGCTCAAGACTTACTGATCATTTTGGGGGCGTCACGGTGCAAGACGCAGTACTATGAAAAAGCATGGAACCATAAAGGTTCATGAGCACATTTGGCCCCGTCAGCT